ATAAATTTTTTATTATATTTTTATTATATAAAAGTAGTATAGAAATTTAATAAAAATTTTTTTATTTAACTCTTTTCCACTTCTCCTTACTTCATAAAAAAAATTTTTAAAAGGTTTTTTTTTCCTTTTTCCTCTTCTTTACTTCATATGAGGTTAATAACTATACAGTAGATAAGGTTTAAAATATACTAATATTATACGAGGCTCTGTTATCTGACTTATTGATGCATAGAATGTATTATGTCTAGGAAAGCATGAGCAGACCTGCATTCTATATATAGCAAATATCTGAAACAAATGAAATTGTTCTTTGAGGGTGGAACACTCCTGAAACAAGACTTTGTGTATGCCTGAGTCATCATAGACAAAATATCTTTATTCTCCTTAGTTTTTTTCAACTCCTTAAATCTTCTCCTTTTTTTTTCTTCTTCAATTTATTTCCACTTCCGTGTCTTATACCCTTCCTATTAATGGATAGCTTTTCTTTTTTTCAATGTTTTCTTTCTAGACCTCCCACTTTTTTTTCTACCAAACCATTTTATCAATTCTATAATATATCAAGCCTTTACTCGGATCAAGTTAGTAAACTTAACTCATAAAAAAATTAAAACAAAATCTTTTACAATTGAGAGGTGAATTTGTAACAAGGGAGGCTATATTTTTAAAGTTCTAGATATACCTTTCTATAATCACTAGTTATTTATAAAGCCATCTAAATAAAGAAGAGATGTACCAGTAGAAACATCAATCAGCAGTATCAAAAGTAGGGTTCTACTTGCTGAAGGTCTAGACTGCCATTTAATGTTGGTTAGAAAGTAAATAACTAATCAAGAACTCTTGTTCTGAATACTTGATAACATTACTATTATCCAATTTAAGAGAAATGACAATGGAATCTCCTTTTGTTTTAATCATTTCCCAAAACTTCACCAAAAACTGTGGTCAGTTTATCCCCTTCAAAAGATTAGTGTAGGTTAAGTGTACCTTATTAGATTCAAGACTCCTAATAAGAAAAGATTTATGATCTATACCTTAACTCAAACTGGTTTTCAGGTCCAGTACAATAAAAACCTAAATTTCCTAATTATATCACAACACATACTATTATTTATGTAATTGTTTATAAATTAACTTTCTAATAAAAACTAGCATGTATTGCTCATTTTGTGTTAAAAAATTTTTTTTTACTTTTATAATTTAATGAAAATTATTTATTTATATAAATTTTATAAATATTTTTTTTGTAACTAAAAAAATAAAATTAATTGATTTAAAATTAAAATTAAAAAATAAATTATATAATAATTTTAATATTTTTTTTTATATTTTTTTATATTTATGCTTTAAAAAATATATTGTAAAGTTTTAAATAATTTGAATAATTTTTATTAATTTATAAATAAAAATATGTATTTTAAAAAATTTCAAAAAGTTTTGTTATATACTGTATTTTATATCTTAATACAAATTTTATTTTTATAATTTTTTAAAAAAATTTTTATATAAAATTTTTAAAGTTTTATTATTGTTAAAAAATTTTTTTTTTAAATTTTATTTTCGAATAATTTTAATTGATTATTATTATAAATCATATGATAATTAATAAAAAATAAAAATATTTAATAATAATAAAACTTTTGAAGTTATTTATAAAAAATTTTTTTAAAAAAAGAAAAATAAAATAGATATTATTATATAATATATCTAAATTTTATAATTTTTATTGTATAATTGAATATTTAAAAATTGATAAAATTAAAATTTATATTAATAAATAAATTTAAATTATGAAAAGTAATCATATATTGTTTTATTGATTTTTTTTAAAAATAAAAAATTTAAAAACAAAGATATTAATTTACTAATATACAGTAAATTATTTTAATTAAAAATTTATTTTATAATAATTTATAATATAAATTTCAATAAAAATTTTTATCAAATCAATTATTATATTATTAAAGTATTAAATATTATATAATTTAATATATTTCTAGAATAATTTTTTAATATAATTATGATTTATTATATTTTATGATCAAGTTTTAAATAATTACTCTTTAAAAAATATATAATGTATAATAATATATTGTGAATTTTAATAATTATAATTTGGTTTTTTATTAATCATTATCAATAAGTTAAAATACACAGTATACAATATATAGCACTGTATTACTGTAATTTATCTTATATACAATATTGTAAATCGAAATGTTTACTAAATAATTTGATCAATAGTCCTTGTATCACAGCACGTGCAGACGTCGTGTACGCATTTAAGTGAAGTGGAACTATGATCTTATCAGAAAATATCACAAAATCTCGTGAGCCATAATTCCAAAATTGTTTTCACATTAGGTAGTATCTAAATCAAAGAACAATGGTGAGTACATACGCTAATTTGGTGAAGATGATAACGTGACCATTATTGGAACACGCCATACCAGAATAAACGACCGCACCACAGGTATATAATACTGTATGTTGTCCACAATGCACATATTTTACATACCGAAGTTATAATAATTTTTCTTTTTAATCTAGCCACGTATCCATTCAATTAAACATATTAAATGGCCCAAATTCTTTTACTCCCAATTTACCAAGACTATCTCGGTCCGCATATAACCACCATTCCCGTCGAGATTTTTATAGAAATATGCAGTCACCTTCATCCTTCGGATCTATTCTCTCTCATAGGAGCTTGCAAACAATTCAGGCATTGGTTGAACTCTATTACATCCCCGGACACTCAAGGCATTTGGCGAACCTCTAGATTAAAATTCCTACCATATTTACAATTAAAACCATTCGCCGATATGAATGAGCAATCTTACATCAGATTAGGTTTACTCGAGAAGGGATGCCAATTTTGCAGGAGACGAGATGATTGTTGCAAAATTTACTGGGTGTTTCGCATAAGATGTTGCAAAAGGTGTTTTAATAAAAAAGTTGTAAGGTAAACATTGCCCGTGATAATCTTTGACGTTTTTTTTTTTTTTTGCGCAATCATTGTATGTTTAACTTTGCAAGTGGATTCCTTCTTCCCAAGCCATCGTGAACTTCCGAGCGATTCGATACCACTGTCTTATATCCCAAATTGCTTGCCTTACATTCAAGAAGGACCAGAGTGTGGTTCCTTGAGGATGTATTGGCGTCGTGATGTCAGGGCAATTTGCAAAGAATTAAAACCCCTTACTCGGGAAGAGAGAACAGAATGGCTTTCAAAAAAAATATCAAAAACACGCAAAATAATGGAGGACTCGCAGAAACGGCAGTATGAAGAGGATAATTGGCTGATGTCTCGTAGAAGGGAGGACAAAAAGGAATTCGAAAGAATTATCAATGAATTATCGGAGAAGCGGCGTGATGACGGAGAACCCAAATATATTTCCCAATCGATTTGGAATTTAAAATCGTGTGCCAAGGCTCTCGAACTTTCCCGGGAGCCTTGTGTAAGAAAAGATTGGGAAGAATTGATGCACGCCATGATGATGGAATATGAAGAATCGATGAAACACCAACGTCGACAACAGATATGCGCATTCATTTTATCTTTGTTAGTTACGGATGAACCGACCCTTGACGATACGGTTAACGCAACCGGAGTCACCGAATCAGAAATATTGGATCATCGAATCTTGATATCCGAGTCGCTTTTAGAATGCCTAAGATGGTGCCCATCATATCAAGACCCTCCTTTCATTGATAATGATCCGAGAAATCCGTGGAGCAATCAATACTTACTTCACGAATTAATTCCACGACTTCGCAAAGAGGCTAATGAATTGCACAAGTTGCCAGGTCCGATGAGACCCGGGTCAATCGTCACAGTACTAGGTGCGATTAATCATGGATGTTCTCAGTGCGAAATATTTCGCTGTCAGTTATGTGCTAAAAGGGAGAATACGATTTACAACTATCAAGGAGTTCGCTGTCATTTGTATATGAATCACGGAGTCTCCAAGGTGATGGAAGAAGAAATGGTCTTTGTTGATAGGAACAAGGTCGTGGAATGTTTGTCGTTGATATTTCCTTTCGATGGTAGCTCTTCGGAATCCTTTCACAATTTTCGTCACGGGTATTGGCCTGGTCGCTGTCGATTGATGTTTTAAATATATGTACGGAGTGGACGTTAAACTTACTTTGGAGAAATATCACGCCAGTGTTTCTTCGACTATCGTTAAGTAATTGTCACAAATGGAAATATTGTTTACGATAACTTATTTACACCTTGGGTTTCTTGTATATTCTCGAGAATCCTTGTAATTCGCACACTCAACGTGAGACCGTTTTGAGATGGCATGCATGTCGATCGATTTTCTTCAAAATGAAAACTTAGTTCATAGACGGAAAACTTGTGATCGTTTGTGATAACATTATGACCTGGTCAATTATTAATTTAAATGCTAAACATGGACATGAAATTCCCTCTTAATACACAAAGATTCGGATTTGCGAAATAAACAATGTGAATATTAATTAAAGCATTTGTTATATAATAAATTATCCTATCCGCTCATTTTCTTAATTAGCAAATGGCTCACTCGTCTGACCTTGATTTGACCTTTATACATAAATAAGTTCTTATGGGCATTTTAGTGCTAAATTACGAATGAATGAGCTTAGTTGTAGGTGGTTAAGCCAATGGTTTGTTTTTCTCACTCGCGCTTTACAATGAGAGAAATGATCCCGTAAATTCCATTAAAAAGGTACGATTTTAGTTTGACCTCTGAAGATACTTGCCGATAGGGTATGAATCGATCGTCCTTCATGAGGTTTTAGGAATTTGGTAAATTTCTTTGCCAGATATGTTTAATCGAATCGGAGTGACTTGCGCGTGTGCGTGCGTGTATTCCAAGCCCATAACCGAAAACGATTATGAGCTCGTATAAATATGAGTTATCGGTTTTTCTTTTTTAATTTAAACGCCTTCAAAAAAAAAAAAAGATTTTTTTTTTTTTATTAATGCGAAACCATAAAGTTTAAGCTTGTTGTCGTCTTTAGAATATTTAATTTCACCCCGTGTTGCCTTTCTTAAAGGCTTACTCTTGTGAAAACCATCCATTCCTTTCTTTTTTTTTTTTTTTTTGAAATTTTTTCTTTGCCAAAGACAAGAAAATTTCCAATAATGAGCGAAAAGTATCAACTCTCTGAAGATGGATTCACTCAGGGATCCTTGCGCGAGAATCGTTCCTTCGATGAGGAAAGTATTGTGACCACGATTGATCCCGCCAAGTCTACCCCAGAGTACCACATAAAAAAGGCAGAAGATGCTCTGGATACCTTAAAGAGTATTGTCAAGGGAGGGGGCTGGAAAAGAATTCTCAAACACAAAAGCGGAGTGATTGTCTACAGTAGGCCAGGTGAATCGGGAGAAAACAAATTACCAATATTCATGGGTCAACACGAAATAGAAGGTTTCCCTCCTCAGACGGTCTTTTCGGTGATTGGAATGAGAAGGCTCTGGGATGAGCTGTGAGGATCAAGAAAATAGCGATTTGTGAAAGATTGAAAGTTGCTAACAGTATATAAATCTTTGTTAGATATGAAGAGGGCAACTTGGTTGAAAATCTAGACGAAACAACAAGCTTAACTTACATGGTTATGCAAGGAATGGCTGGGTCCAAGTAAGAATTCCTTGTTAATTCCTTCTACCGTAAGTTACATGATTACCAATGGTCCCGACAATTTCCAATAGGACTAGGGACTTCTCGCTGGTAGAAAAAATTGATTGTTCACTGGATGGGAAAATCTTTTTTGTCTCAACGTCGGTCGATACACCCAAAATCCCACGTTGCGTCGGCAAAGTTCGTGCCAACATAAAACTCAACGGATGGATCCTTGAACCTACTTCTGAAACTCCACCTTCTACAAAGGTTACCTATATTCTTCAATCGGATGTCCGAGGATGGGTTCCATCGATGTTCGCTAACAAATATTTGGCAAGACGACCTCTCGTCATACACATAATTAAAAGTTACCTTCAAAAGAATGGATCACCTCCAGTAGTCTTCGTTTCACCACCAAACTCTCGTAGAACGTCACGAAGTATTGCCGAAGACCCTAAAAAAGACGAAATCGAGGAGGACACCAAGGAAACAAAGGTCGTAAGACAGAAGGTGATATTCAAGAGTGAAAAGGTGGACACACTTGAGTCCTCGAATGTTCACGTGGCCCGCGAGGCTCACGTCGCTCCGGCATATACTCTGGACATTGTGCGCTTAAGTAGTGATGAAAAAGCTGCCGACTCTTCGCCTCACCACAGTCAAGCCGCGAGTGTGAACGAAGAACACGTGTCATCCGAGGTGCTCTCAGAAAGTTCCGAAGCCTCGTCAGGTATCGTGGAAGAGGTCGTTGAGGTTCTTGAGCCTACAAAGCAAATTGTTACACATCGACACACCGAATCAGTGCAAAATGCACTCAAAACCCTGAAATCACTCTATGATGACCTGGATGGTTGGATCCCATATACCGAGAGTAGAGGTGTTAAGGTCTATACCAAAGATAGTGGTAGGTCTATGCCGATCGTACGGGGTGACGCTACCTTTATCGGATGTACACCCGACGACATCCTGTCGGTCGTGGCCAGCTTAGAGTTTAAAAAACTTTGTAAGTTGTTGGAATGAAACTATTTCCGCTGTTCGAAGATTCCTAATATTTATTCATGTAATCGTAAAGGGGATGATCGTTTTGAAGAAGGCACCACTTATGAACGTTGGGGCCTAAATGATACATTAACTAGAGCAGCAATGAAGGGAACATTTCCCGTTAGGTAAGTCTTGTATATTGAAGATTATAATGTGGCGATCTTTAAAAACATTCTCGTCTCCTTGGTATCTAGCGGTCGCGATTTGTCATTGATCAACACAGTTGATCGAGATCCCGAGACTGGAACAGTTTGGTTTGCCAACACTTCGGTGGTCGATGAGAATATTCCTGTGTCCAAGAAACATGTGAGAGCTGAGGTGGCAACCGCGGGTTGGATACTAAAAGCTGAGAAGAATGAGTTGCATGACATCAAGGCAGTAAAGGTCTCATACATTGTCGATATTGATATCAAGCTTGACTCAATTCCAGCGGCAATTTTAAAATCGATCTCAACTCAAACGCCAATGTGCGTCGGTAAGGTTGATGAGGTCATGCAAAAATATGGATTTCCACCATATGTGAGAAGAACGACCGGAGATGAGTTAAAAAACAATAAGTTTAACGTCAAAGCTTCTCAATGCGACCTCACCCTTAAAGTTAACGGAGGAGGTTTCATCGAGATCCAAACATCTTTGAAGATGTATCCGAATGGTTTCGACGTCTCGGTCGAACCCAGAAATATGAAAGTTGAAGTGATTCATAATAACCAGGGGTTGATCCGACTTACAATGCCTTCAGGAACTGATTCACACGAAATCAAAATTACGATCACAAAGAGCACGTCTAAAAGTATGAAAGTGACATACAATCAACATCAAGATATTCCAATATCTTTACTAGAAGAAACGACCGTACCCCAAGTAAAGACCACAAATAATGCGGTTGACCTAAATAATGCGGTTGACCTAAATAATGCGGTTGACTTAAATGATGCGGTTGACTTAAATGATGCGGTTGACCTAAATAATGCGGTTGACTTTAAGCATGCAAAAGAAAAATCTTCAAATTCCACACTGGTTGATAAACCTATCAGTGAGCCGATTATGAAGGTCATTGACATGGGTGACAATGAAAGTGCCACTCTCACTGCTGCAATGATACCAAAACAAATGCTTCTTTCAATTTCAGCCGACAATACTGAAGGTAAGATTTACTTTCTTTTTGGGGGTCAATTGTACTAAATAGCTAAAAATTTTTGTTCGTACCAATTATCAGAGGATAAGACATCACATAAGGTACGTGTGTTTTATTTTATTTTATTTTTCCGATAACTTTAAACACACGAGCGTAATGATTTCCTTAAAATTTTCGAAGCCTCAGGACGAGCCACTTCTGCCGAAAAGTTCAAAAAGAAAAACAATCATAGGCGATTCGGTTATAATAACTCGTTATGACACCAACAAGTTCGTTGCTGACTTATCTAAAAATGTTAAATTTGGTTCTCAACAAGTTGGATTGATGTTCGCCTCGATGATATTAGCATATTATGCTGGTAAAATGAGCAATTCTTACGTATAATGGTACATAGATATATACAGGTTAGGTCTCTTTTAGTGAATTCGGTGATAGCATGTTGCCGCGTGTTTTATTTAACTTGTTTCTTTTTCCTGATTAATGACCCATCAACAGAAAATTTCTACATATAGAATAATTTCCTATTCAAAAAAAAAAAAAAAAAAAAAAAATCAAACATTCACACAATGCATTCTTTTTATTTTTATTTTTAATTTATCTGCCATTAATTACTATCTCATAATATTGCTTTCGTTAACTGTCGTTCACGTATGCTAACATACTTGATTAACTTCCTATGCTGTATATATCTTTCTTCAAATTTTTTAATGGTTCTCTATGATTGATCTTATATTCCGGCAATAAATGTCATTATAAAGATTTGATTGATCTAAGCTTAAGCATCGTGATTTTTTATACCATTTGATTATTCTTTTAAAATATTTGCTATTTATTGTAGTATTTAATAAAGTTTATAAAATTTAACATACTGTATTACTTGAAATAAGGATCAACAGTGATCTATTATAAATAACAAAATTATTATATTGTGTAATTTTTTTGTTTTGCAATTATGTTCCGTTGATCACTTGGTTTTTATTTTTAAGAGGTTAACAGAGGTTCGGTTTCATGGAGTTGTTAGTCACAACTATATATATACTTAAATTAAATTTATACAAAGAAATTCTAAGTACTTCTGAATCTAACTATATAATTTTTAATATAACAAATACTTAAAATAGATCCATTTTTCTGGTTTTAGTAGCACTATATATGGCTTGTTACTGAAAGAGGTTTCTTATCACCCAACTATCATTGCCTAAAACTCTGGCTTCTTTGATAATAAATCTAAACCTCTTATTTTATCACTTTCTATTGAATATTTTTTTATAATATCTATTACAGTATGTCTAAGGAATACTTACAGTATATAGAGTTTTAAATAGTGTTTTATCTCAATAAATTATTTTTTATATAATCTATTATAGTCTATCTATGGAATAATTATATGAAATCAAATATAAGTATTGTATTTTATTTTATTAATAAAAATTTTCTTTTAACTAATGTATTAAGTTTTATTAAGTTCTCAAATTTAATATACAAATATTTAACCTATTTATTGAAACCTGAAAATTTTTATATTCTTTATAATCAAATAGAGTTTTAATAAAATCAATTAAATTATTATTAAGAAATAAATAAAATTTTCTTGTATTATTTAATTAAATAAAACTATATTATAGTAATATTAAATTTAAAAAAAATAATTGATAACTTGAAAATACCATTACTATATTATTGATTTATAAGTTTTAATTATTTTATACAAAATATATTTAAGTATTATATATTTATATAGTTTAAAAATTAGCTCTTCTATCAATTAATTGTTTTAAATTAAAATTTTTAATTAAACTAGAGTTAAAAATATATTTTTAATTATTAAAAAAATATTTTTTTTATTAAATTTATCTTATAAAAAAATAAAAAATATAAAAAAATTATTTCATTTTTAAAAAAATATAAGATTATATTTATAAATTAATTTATTAGTTCTATTATGATAATACTTAAAAATTAAAGAAAAATTCAAATGTTCCATATTAGATATTAAAAATCAATTTTTTATAATATAATCTTATTTTTGATAAAAAATTAAAAATTAAAATTATTTATAAAAAAAAAAAATTTTTTTAAACCATAAATAAATATTTAATATGAAATATTATTAATAGTTAAATTAAAATTATTATATTATTTTTTTAAGTACCTGTAACTAAGCTAGATTGTGAATTTATTAATCAATTAAAAACTTAAGTACATTTTTATTTGAATAGTATAATACAGTTAAACTATTATTCTAATTTAACTAACTCATCATAAGTGAATGAAAACCCTCCTAGTCTATTGTATTATTGTTAACAAGTTGTCACCACTGTAGTCTTATCAAGTTACTGAAATACAAGAAACTATAAAAGAATAAGTTGAAAAAAAGAAAAAAGAAATATCTAAAAATGTCTAAATAGACAACAAGAAAATGAAAAGTAAAAATTTGAAAAAAAAATTTTCAGCTTTCTCCAAAAACCTGCTTCTCAAAATTTCTTTTCAATAAAAAATACCTAATTGGGATATTCTTTCTTTTTCTGATTATTTGAGAAACTTATATTTTTTTTTCTAACATCTAAGAAACTTATCTATTCTTGATCTTGATTTTCTTCTCATATATTATCTAAGGAGACTTATCACCTAATGGTAGCCTTTACTTTTAGGACACACTTGGTTCTAATCTTATTTAGACAATAATTTTTTATCCACTTGTAGTAGAAGAATAACTTATGATGGATTTCAAATTCTTATGTAATCTAATAAGAATTGAATCATATTGTTTCAGTATAATACCTTTTAACAGTCATACTTAGTTAAAGGAATTTTACTGATGTATATCTTCCATTGCCCAAAATAGTCTTTCCT